AGAGGGGCCAGGGCGGGACCGTGAGTGAGAGACATGGATTTGGGGAGCAGAAAACTACTTTGTCTGCACGGGGAAGGAAGGGCAAGCCGGACTGGAAGGCAGGGAGCAGGGAGCCCCCACAGCCCGCGGCCCTGAGCCAGGGCTCTCTGAGCTGCTTTCTCTGGTTCGCTCCTCGGGTGGAGGCTTCTAAGCCCCTACCGGCCTGCGATTTCCCACAAGGGCCAGGACTGACCGTGCCTGAATTACCTTGCTGTCCCCAGCGCCTGGTGCCCAGTAAGTACCAACTAGCACGACAGTGAAGCGTGACGGAACCCAAGGTCTCTGAACGCTCCTCCCGACAGCTCCTGTAACAGCCTCCGAACCTCCAGCCCCTCAGACCCACGGCCCGCTCACAGGGTGCTCACTCACGCCCCATGCTGGCTGCAGGAGTCCGCCCAGCCCGTCAAGTCCTGTCAGACAGACACTGGATCACTGCTGGTTTCGCTCTTGTCTGACAATCAGCTTTGTTTACTGGAAAGATCCCAGGAATCAAAACCCGGCCTTTAGTGCTCCCTGGGGCCACTGTGAAGCCACTGCAGCGCGAGTGGGATCCAGGCCAGGGACTGGCCCACAGGGCACCGTGGACCTCTGCCCGCCCACCTGCTGCTCCCCTCAGCCGTGCATTTCATCTGCCTGTTTGGCTCCCCACTCCGTCTCGGGTGAATCCTCTCACATACCTCCAACCCCCACACCTCTGGCCTGTACCCCAGCTCTTCTATAAATAAATCTTTTAAAAAACAGAACAAACCGGGCCTTTAATCTCAATCACTGTCAGGCCTTGGGGAACTGTCTCTGACACAATCCTCCATCTGGTTAAAAATAAAAACCAAGACACCACCCACCCCGCACCTCTCAGAAGTCTGGAGCTCTGGGTTTACCCTGAAAGGCGATCCCCAGCACCCCGACTAAAGGCCGGCGGCACGGTAAGCACCTGCCAGGTGTGCGGAAGCCCTGTGAATCCTGCATCGGTAAAGAAACCCCGAGGCGTAGCTGCCGGCTGCACGCTTCCCGACACCATCTTGCCGCCTCCCCACCCACTAGCGTCTTTACCCTGCTGCTCCTTCCTTCAAGGGGTCCCTGTTAACAAGACAGGCGTGACCTCAGGGCCGGAAGATGGAGGCTGCGGTGTGATGCGAAGTGTGTGTGCGTGAACGCGGACAGAGGCAGGCGCCGGAGCGCCTGAGGCAGTGACACGGCGACTTCCTCCAGTCGCTCCGGTAACGCGGGGGACTCAGTGATGGGGCTGAGTCACCCTCCCAGCAGGGCTCTCACGCAAGTGCCCAGCGGCTGGTGCACTCAACCAACAGAGGCCTGCGCCCACAAGGGCTCACCGAACACATGTGAAGATGAAGTGACTTTTTTTTAAAAAAGACACACACACGACGGCATTTTCCTCTACGATACGGGCACTCCTATGAGCCTGCTTTCCAACACGCTTTCTCGAGTGGCGGAAACAGGCAGAATGAAAACCATGTTTTAGCAGCTGTGGACAACAGGCAGCCTGCTGCCCTGTGTGTGCCTGCGGGGTCGCTGAGGGTCGGGCCACAGAGTGCCGCGTCCTGCCCCTGCCGCCCGAGGGAGTCTGCGGCACGTGTGACGCTGTGTGAGTGGGGCAGTGGGAAGGAGGCCAGAGGCTGGCCAGGTGTGTCTGCGACAGGTCCTGGCGTCCATGGCGCGAGACCTCTGTTGCTTAGAGGCGGCGGGGCAGAGGGGGTGGTCGCCGAGGGGAGCGGCTCAGTTAATCCCTGGGGAGCAGAGAAGGCGGCAGCACACTGCCACGTCTGGGAGAGGGTAAGGCCTCCCGGGGACCGGGCACTGGCCAACCCAAAGGCCCCGCCCCGACACGGAGCAGCACCAGGCCAGCGGCGGGGCCCTGGCCGCAGCAAGCCAGCGCCCGGAGACGGAGCGAGGGCCCGCGGTCTCGAACACAGAAACAAGCAAGTGGCCACCTACGAGCAAAATGAGCAGGATGCTGGGGCTGCTTCTGAGCACGCGGAACAGGGCGGCCAAGCTGGCGGGGAGGGCGGCCTTGCCGGCAGGCGAGCCAGGCCCCGGCCCCTCGGAGCTGCTCTCTTCCCAGCAGAGCCAAAGTTCCAGGACGCGGTGTCCAAACCTGCTCATCAGCTCCGGATGCAGCAGGAAGAACCTGAGCAGGAGAGGGTGGTGGCTGTAGACTGAGCGCAGGTCCGGGACGCCCTCGAGGAACTTCCTGGTGGCACTGACCACAGCCTGGAGGTGAGAGAGAGAGCCAACCTCGCCTCGCAGAGCTCCCACCAGCACCCGTCAGGAGCTGGCCGGAAGCCCCCCAGCAGCACGCCAGGGCCCCCCAGTGGGCAGACATCCCGCGCTTACCCTGCAGCAGCGCTTCCAGCTGGCCTGATTTTGCTCTCCATCACATTTTGAAAATGTCTGGAGATTTTGATTTAGTGGGTGGGGGTGAGGCTGTCGCTACAGCCTGCGACGCACTGCACGCCTCCACAGGAAGAATGCTGTCCCGCAGCACGGCCTGGCGCCGAGGAGCAGGCGCCCCGGGACGCTGGCCACGGTGTGCTGCAGGTCGGCCTGCCTGTCCGCACCAGACGCGAGCTGCTTGAGGGCAAGGACTGTGCACAGGCCTGGCACAGAGGGGCCAGGGGCAGGTGTGCTGACGTATTTATCACCCCTCAAAAAACTCTTTCGGGCCCTCCCTGGTGGCGCAGCAGGTTAAAGCACAGCACTAAGAAGCTAAAGCCGCTTCCGCATGAGTTCGATTCCCGCCTGCCCCAGAGGTGACCACAGGGCGCGGCAGACCTCTCCTGACCCGCCTGCTGCTCTCCTCAGCAGTGTGCTTCGTCGATCTGCCTGTTCTGCTCCCCGCTCTGTCTCTGGTGAATCCTCTCACCCTCTGCATCTCTGGCCTATACCCCAGTTTCGTATGAATAAATAAATCTTTTTTTAAAAAAAACACTCTTTCTATTGTATAAACCTCAAATTCCCTAATGCCATTTTGAGTATTATAGTTCTAGCTCTTTCATTTAGGTCTCTAATTTATTTTGCGCTAATTTCTGTGCTTAGTAGGAGGTAAGAGCCTGACTCACTCTTCGCGTGTGGCCACCCAGGTGACCCAGCACCACTGGCTAGGGACTCGTGAGCTCTGGCATCCTTATCAGAAAGCAACTGCCATCAGCATCAGCACACGGCTTACTCCTGGACTCCGGGCTCTCGCTCTCTGACCTGGGCGCCCACAGCCGCGCCATGCGGAGCACTACTCCGGGACCAGACAGTGAGGGGCCACGCGACACGGCCGCCGGACCCCGGCTGAGGGCCCTGGCCTCAGGGCTGGTGACTCTGAGCGCGCCTGCAGAGGTGTGGGGGTGGGAGGGATCACCAGGGTGGGGTCAAGAGTGCACAGGAGAGCAGGGAAGTATGTGTAAAGCCACACTAGAACCTACAGCCCGCCAAAGTCTGTCAGAGCACAAAGGGCTGTGGGAAGGACTCAGAAGCTACCCTGGCTAGGCCCCCACTGGCCAAAGATAGAACAGTCTGAGCCTGCAGAGGAAACACTTCAAATATTTTTAAATCCATGAATTCATGATGATACTAAAGTATCTCTTTCCACTACAGAGGATGCAAACTGGCAGTTAAAGGAAAGACTCAGACACTCAACCTACACAGCCTGTTCAGACACCTGACATCTGATGAGGAAGCTCCTGGCATACAAGGGCTCCAGTTAACACGCAGACAGAGGGCGACAGACTCGAATGTCATCACCTTTGCAGGCCCTGGGCAGTGCTGACCGCGGCTGTTAATATCGCAAAGAGCAGCGATGGGCATTGTGTCCTCAGTCCCTTACCTAAGACCTGGGCACTTTCTTCACGCCTTTCCGCTTTCATTCAATTGAGCCAAGTCTGCTCATATCACATTTGCGCCAACAGTGATGAGAAAGAGGCAAAACCAGCAGCGAAGGGCGGGAAGCCGCCGGTGGAGCTGGCTGAGGAGCCGAGCAGGCTTCAGTGCGAGGCGAGAGGTCGGCCTTGACTCGGGCCTGTAGTCCTTACCCCCAAGAGTTTACAAAAAAGCCAATTTGTCCACACACAATCACCTTAAAGTGTCCAAGACCGACCAGGTAAACGTGACCATGGGCCCGGCAACCCACCGTTGGATGCAAGGTCGCCAGAGGCAATGCCAGCACCCCCCTCCGCCCACAGAAACCCGAGGTGGCACCAGGTCAAGTCGGAGTCCTGGTTCCCCATCAGTTAACGAGCGAAGGCTACGTTACCCGAGTCTAGGCTGTCTCGCATGGAGGAGAGTGACGCCGCTCGCCCCCCAGGATGCCGAGAGCTGGCTCCTGGCTCCTGGTCAGCACCTGTACCGTGCACCCCCAGCAGCCCCCCACTCTCTGCATACATGTCAGCATGGGGTCCTCAGGAGGAGACACGCCCCAGGTGCCCCATCCACACCTGGTCTAGTGCGCCGTCTTTGTCCTGGCAGACGGCAAGCAGGTAGACGGAGGCTCTAAAGACCAGCAGTGGAGGGCGCTCCCCTTGATCCTGCAGAGACAGGAGGAAGCTTTGCACAGCCACCAGTAACTCCGGCTCTGAGACAAACCTGTGGAGCAAGGGGCGTCTGCGTGAGCAAGGCAGAGAAGGCGTCCTGCCTAGACGCAGCCTCCCTCAGCCACCATCCTGCTGGCCCTGCATGCCTGCAGCCGACGACCCCGAGCCCAGCGTGCTGTGCACACTTGGTGAGCGACTGTCACGCCTGCGCAGAGTGTGGCTCTGGCCTTTGGGCAAGTTAAGGGCAGAGCCGCCTGCTCACTCCAGGCGGTGGGGGCCTGCCAGCTGGCCCAGCAGTGCCAGACAGGCACATGCCACGCCTCTGGACTTCCAGAGGCCCCACCCGCCCTCTTGTTGTGTTTCTCAGTAAGCCTTAGTGTGTCCAGGGGGCTGTGTGTTCAGGGCAGGGAGGTGAGAAGGAAACTGAGTTTCACTATGAGACCTCGTATTCTTTTTTAACTCTCTACCACAAATATGTCTCACCTATCAGATTATGTATCCCAAAACTGAGCACTTAAAAATAGTTCTTTCACCATTCTGGAGCTTGTAGAGACCTCTAAAATATGTCTGGAAGGCTGTGGCCCAAGGTCAGTTTGCTGGCTACAAACAGGGTCTCCAGAACCTGAAGGCGCACAACTTCTCTTAAAATTGAAGGTGTTTCTGCTTAAGATGAAACTGAATTCTGCCTAGTCAAGAAATGCGCTCCTGTGCACAAACCAGGAACACCACAGCGTCTCCTGCTGGCGAAGACCACGGGGTCCTCCTTAGCACTCCAGGCCTTCCTCGGCCTGACTTCCTGCCAGCCCTGCGCCCCTCCAGGAACACAGCCACTCCTTTCCCACTGCCCTGGCACCCGCACCAGCCTGGAGAGGGTCCTCCGCGTGTGCTCTCTGAGCTGACCTGGGTGGCACACACCGGCCAGCTCTGCACTGACCTGTCGTCGTAGGTGTGAGCCAGGTAGAACAGGAGCAGGAGGCAGCACTGTCTCTGGCGAGCCACCCCCTCCACATATCGGCGCTCTGACAGGAGGGCAAGGCTCTCGGGGCTCCTGCTGCTTATCTGGGGCAGCCCGTGCTGCAAGAGCTCAGCCGCGGCAGAGAGTTCTGGAAGGAGCAGGAGAGAGGCACAGAGAACACAGGCTCCCCTGCGGGCAGCAGCTGAGCAAGGATTCGAGTATTACACAGAGGAAACCTGAGCTGTCAGTCTGCGCCTGCTGCTCCCGCACCTGCATGGCGGCTTCACCTCACCGGATGGCTGCTGAAACGCCCTCCTCACAGGCCTTCCTGGACCACCCTCGGGGACACGAACCCCACCCCATCACCCGCCCTCCCGTGCGCAGTGTGACTTTTTCCACAGCACCCACTCACCCGACGCTGACAGTGCACGTGCTGCCCCCACCCCGAGGCCACAGGGCTTTGTGCCCCGGACTCTAGAGCCAGAAGAGATAGTGGCACACAGTAGATGCTCAAGAAATACCCGGCGAGTGAAGGAACAGAGCAGCTTGACAAGCTGTTGGAAGTGTTTCGGAAAGAGGTCCCAGAGTAACAGAGGCCGGGTGTGAGGGAGGCTGCAGAGACGACGGCCAGGTGGGGCGACGGGCTTCATGCGCCTCTGGGTGTTTCTCGGAGTGGTGAAGCCCTTCCTCGGGCACCTCCTCGGCCTCGGCCCAAACTCCGTGATTCCTCCTCTCTGGTGAGCTCCAGCAGAGGGTCTTGGTACTGAACTGACCACCACCAGCCAAGACAGCGACCCTCGAAGACCACCAGGGGCCTCCAGACAGTCGAGCGCAGCTGCTTACCTTCCTGGGACGGGGCTCCTGTCTTCTCTGGGGCTGAGAGGAGGTTGAGGCACAGGTGGTGGAGGAAACTGGAACACACCTGATTTAGGGCTGAGTGACTTGGAGAGGAAGCAAGAACAAGAGAAGACATTGCCACGTTGGCTGCAGCGTGTGCTAAGGCACCATGCTTTGTGCCAGGGCCTACTGAAACTCCACGGTCCTGGCAGGGGGAGGTCTGTGGGTGGCAGGGAAGAATAAATACGGGACTTGTTGCCCGTGGCTGTAACTTGGGCATTGGGTCCATGAAGGCAGTCACTAAAAATTTACTGAAAAAATACATCAAGGAAGGGATCTTACTACTGCGCTGACTCACCACCAGCCAAGCAATCAGCAAGACAATTCAGCAAAAACAGAAATTTCCAGAGGAAGCCATTCCGTTGGCACCCACCTCCGGTCACTGCAGAACCTGGCCTTCAGCTCCAGGGTCAGTCTTATGAAGGACGAGGCCGCTTGGAGAAGGGAGGGAAACGGGGCTCACACCAGGCTTGTGAGAGGGAAGCCCGGTCCAGGTGGCACCGCGGTCACACAGGGCTGGGCTCGGAATACGCTTCCTCGCCATCAAGTGGAGTGACTGAAACACTCACTCCATGTCTCTGAGGCCTGCTTAAAATCCCTACCTGATGAAAAGCTCAGAACAATGCATGTGCAGCCCCGGCCGGCGCGTGGCTCAGAGCAGGGCTGAGCACATTCGCCTTCCTTTCGGAGACGTCTTCTACTGCGGCACCGCCCTGCCTGCTGAGGAGCCTCATTGCCCAGTCTCCCCGGAGCCAAGAGTCCTTCACCCTCCCCGGACTCTGCGCCTCCTTGGCTGGCAAGGCTGCTTCCTTCTCTCGTGCAGTCTGGGCCTCCGACCAAGTCTGCCCTGGCTCTGGGCCACACCGATCTCCTGATGCACAGCCTTTCTCTGTTACCTCTTCCCCACCCCAGGTCCGCACCCTGAAGGTGATTCATCTAGCACCCCATCCTAGGTCTGGAGGGAGGGCAGGGAGGGAGAGTAGACGCCAGGAAAGAAAGACGTGCAGCTCCGTGGTCAGAATGACTAAGAGTACAGTGTGGCAAGAATGTGTGTGTGTGAAATCTCAGCTAATTCTCATTGTTATCACCGTGTTCCAGCTGGGGACGAGAGAGCAAGCTGTCCAATGTCAATAAACACTGACTTCTTTGTTGTCTTGTCTCCAGCGCCCCAGAGAGCCCCCATGCACAGGTCACCTCACCCCGAGGACGCGTGGCAGCTGCCTGGGAGCCTGCCTCCACCCCTCCCACACTTGGCTGCCACCTACCAAGTTTCTTGGAGAACTTCTCCTTCATGTGGGGAACGATGACAAAGAGGCTGTGCAGAATCGAGAGGAAAACTTCCATCAAAGCTGGGTGGGTCACCTGCTCCGAGTGTCTCTGCAAAGAGCCAGGAAGAGAACACAGCCCACCGGGCCTGAGCCTCCGCAGAAGGAAAGTGCCAGCAGCATTAGCATCCAGTTAGCCAACAGCAGACTACGCCCTTTCCCTGGAAGGACACAGAGAAGCCGGGACCCAAGTCACAAGCCCACCCATGCTGACCCCTGCCGCCGAACGAGTGTGCACAGGGCGGTGCCTCGCTCAGCCTGTGCTCCAAAGAAGAGTAAAACAGGAACAAAACAGAAACAAGCGATAGCTGACGTGGAAAAAAGACTTGCAACCACGATGCAGAGGCCACGCGTGTTTCTGCAGTCAGTGTCAACAGTTCCCAAACTGTTCCCGAACACCACACTGTTGTTTTATGCCTTTGAACAGAATCACGAGCAGCCTGTGCGGTAGATAGAGCTCTAGGTTAAGAGGGAAACCTGGGCTCCAGTTCAAGCTCTCCACAGACTTACAGAGTGCTGCTGGGCAGTCTCACCCCAGGTCTCTCCTGGTTGCTGGAAATAGTTGGGCCCCAGAGACACAGCTCTGATAAATACTTTTGCTGTGGATTTTTCATTTAAAGAGTAACACATGCTCACCACAGACAACGCAGAAGGCAGGAACCAGTAAGCCTGGGATGACCCTATGCTCAGGCCCTGGGTCTCGCTCCGCCCTGCGTACCGCTGGGCCGGAGGCAGGGCCAGTGAGGACCCCCTGGGAACCGCCTGCCTCTCCCTGTCTGCGCTTGTGGTGAGGGCTGCGCCCAGGCCCGCCGGCTCATCCAGGGATGAGGCTCTCTCCGGTCAGGAGCAGACCGGCAGCTCCAGGTGTTTCGGGTGCTCGTCTCAGGCAAGCAGGGGCACTCCCCGGGCTCACGGCTCTCCGGACTTCACCCTGAGACTCAGGGGAACTCACCCTGGCAGTCAATTGCTTGGGACCCCGCTCTCCCTGCAACCTTGACCCTGAGTCGGCGTCAAGGAAGCTCTCCTGGTCCCTCTCTGGGAGACGCCCGTGCCGGGGCCAGGGCACGCAGGCCAGCGCTCAGCGGCTGTGCTCTGACATGCACAAGCGGTGTAGAGCTCCGCTCAGCGCCACCTGTTGAACTGCCAGGACTAGGACGACCGTGCCTGTAAGTTGGGGCAGTTACAGCAGCCATCTGGGAGTCACGAGAGATACACTGGGCAGGGGATGCAAGGCAGGCTGCCCTACAAACACCCCCTTTGTTATGCAATTATTACCTCTTTCTACTTTTCTTAAGAGTATCTATTAGTTTTGATGAGGCGCTACACTGTTTTTAAAAGCAAAGAACCGTGGCTGCAAGAGCAACTCTGAGAAGCCTCGGGAAGGTCCAGCCAGTGTGACCAGTGTCTCTCAGCCCGGCTGATGTCCATGGCCCCGGGGAACTCACCATCACCATGGGGATACACAGGGAGTCACAGGCACTGAGAAGAAATTCCGAAAAGGCCTCTAAGGTGTCTTCCTTCTCTGCGCTCGGGGCTGTGAATGGATTCTCCTGGGCAGAAGGCTCATTCTGGAACTCCATTGCCAACCTGAGGAATCGGTGTGTGAGAACAGCCACAGACTGGGCACACGAAGGCCAGAAGCACGGTCCCAGAGAAGTGTCGGTGCCCTGGGGCCTGGGAAAGTGTGCCCATCAGCTGACGTGGGGAAGGGCCAAGAGGCCTCTGTGAGAGCTCCTGGCCCTAGGCGGCTGCTTGGCCAGCCGGGCGCTCGCGCCGCTGCCAGTCACATGCGACGGACACGCCGCTGGCCGCTTCACCTCCATAGGCCGCCCCACTGCCCAGATGCCTCCTCAGCTCGGACAGCCTGATGAATCCACCGTATACACCAAACTCTCCTCCCCAAGAGCCTGAGCGCCTGCGGGCAGGCGTGGAAAGCCAGGCTCACCTCGCCTCTCTGCCCACCAGCCAGCACCAGGCCGGCACAGACGGAACCGAATCTACTCAACAAGCCTTCCGGGCGGTGCCACATCACGTCGCGGATTAAACTGAGTGAGAACCAACCTCCCGCACAGTAACGAAACTTTACCGGGCCGGAATGCAGAGAAACCTCCTGTTCTGCTAGCTGACTTCCAATCTACTTCCTCACACCCAGGCCCGCCCCATCCTGGCCAACGTCCGCTCACTAGGCCACCAGGCCTGGAAACCCCGCTGCTCCCAGCACCTCATCCTGCTGTCTCCCTCCCTCCCACAGGCCACAGGCCCCTCACCTGCAGGCATTTCTGAATCCCTCCAGAGCGCGCAGGAGGAACCTTCCCCTCCGAAGAACCGCCTTCTCTGAATCCCCACTGCAGGCTCGGCCCTGAGGGAGCCCAAGAGGGAAGCACAGTCAGCTGCTCCTCCCATGGCTCACCTCCGCCCCTCACACTGGCACTCCCCAAAAAGGGCGGGTGTCCCCTCACATCTAACGCTCTACAAGGGCCTCTCAAACTCAGCCATCTACAGGCGCCTTTAAAAATGGTGAAGGGGAAGCTAAGGGCCTGTCTCCTGGTGAACCACAGGCCTGCTCTTGATGCCCCCTGGCAGAAAGCTGTCAGAGCCGAGTGGGCATGAAGCCAACTGGGCACAATGCCAGAGTATCGCTCCAAATCATGAAGACCCCAGCCCCATCAGGGATGAAGAGCTGAGATTCTAAAGTTACTCTTGAGCATTCACATTAACACTATCTTTTCTGCCATTTTAAACCCACTGGCCATTAAAAGCGAACAGCCGTAACACAGCATATCAGTGCGGGCAACACGCTGTGTTTTCGGAGACCAGTGACCCCAGCATCAGTGTTGTGAGCAGGGCCACCATCCTGCCTGGGTGATGTCAAAGATAAAGCGTGTGGCAGGCGTGGCACAGACCAGACCACTGGGGCTTACTATCAAGCTCAGGCCTTGCCAGTGAGAGAGGAACTTAACCCCCTGAGTCTCCTAACAGTCTTAAAAGGAGGAGAGCAGCCTTTCACAGCCTCGCTCAGTGACTCATCGTGCCTTTTCCATAATCATCTCGAACTCATCCCCCCAGGCTCCAGGGGAAACGTGCTGGCACTGACCGGGGGCCTCCAGCTCAGCGGGGCCTGGGAGAAGTCTGCACACCGGCTCAGCATGGCTTCGAGCAAGGCCCGCAGGGCACCGTACTGCACAGGCCGGGCGCTCTGGTGGTCCTTCCTGCGTCCAGAGACGGGAAGCACAGCAAGCTGAGTGAGCCCCAAGAGCCCAGGTTTTCAGGGGAAACCCCCCCCCCAGGCTCTCAGATCTAATCTGATAAAAAGCTTCTCCAGCTGTACAAGTCTGTCAACATTCCAACCAGTTTCCTCACTGGTTAAAAACAGGTTAACTATTCCAAGGACTGGATTAGATAACCTATGCCAAACTAACGTGAAGCTTAATAACAGTAAGTTCTTAGAATTACAGCTGTATTATTATTAACAACATGGAAGATTCTCTTCACCTGCGAAGTGCCAGCTGGTGAAAGAAATACTACCTAGACCTGAACAGGTATGTGAAGAGATGTCTATGGCCATGATGCTCAATAAATGATGACCTCTCTGGGGCAAGAAAATCAAATTTGCTGTTTCTTTGACAAGGAAACAAAGATCAGTTGGTAAGCGTTACCAGATTTTATTCTGAAGAGCCTTACAAAGAACTTCGTAAGAGTCAAAACTGTACGGGTTTCCCCGCGACCTGAGTGCCAGTGTTCCTAGTTGGCATGTTCCCGTAGGCTATTTTGGGCCTGGGAATGCTCAGAAAATTATTCCACATTAATTAATGATAACAGCATTTCCATACACCCACAAAATGGCCAACCAAACCAACTTTTAAGCACGTTATTTGGTTTAAAATTTTTAAATATCAAGAACATTTCCCTAATCTAAAGAAGCAGCACCACGGTGGCCGGCCTGTCTTCCCAGGCACACGCAGGGCGGGAATCTGGCCCATCCTGGCCTCACCTCAGAAAAGCAGAGACGGCCTTCATCGCCTCGGCAGCCACCTCCAGCACGGGGCTGCCCACCGCCTCCTGCAGGGCCTGGCAAGCATCTCCGCACATGGCTGAACTTGTGAAGAGCCTGATCTCCTCCGGCTGCCTGAGAGAGGGTGGAGGAGGGATGAGAACGCGAAGTCCCAGCGGCCCCTGCCAGCCTGATGCTCAGTTTCACTCACCGAGTCAGGATCTCGGCAAGAAGCAGCAGGCCCTGCTTGTGCAGCTCCGTGTTGTTTGTGCTCAGGCTTCTCTGCAGACTCCTCACCACCGACTCAATCCCTACCTCGAGGACACGGGAGGTCAGGTCAGCGCAAGGAGTCCCTTCACCGCGTGCCCAGCGGAGAGGAGAGGTTCCTCCATGCTTAAAAGTTGTAATTTCTTGTTCCCACAGCTTGAAGCACTCTCTCTCGACTCTCCACTCGGACTAGGCTAACACCCTGGTGCTTCCTTTCTCCTCTCCCCGCGCCCTGGCTGGAAGTTCCCATGGAAGTCCCTGACGGGCAAGCCCAGGCTGAGAGCTCTGAGAGGACAGGCCCTTCTCGGGTTCATCTCTGTCCCCCCGAAACAGCACACATCACAGGTGCGGCCGTGGCACACGGTGCTTAGTGAGAGCTCCTGACCAAATTGTGTCTCCTCCACAAGGAACACCCTATTCTTCCTGGCAGAGTCAGTGAGGCTCCGGGAAGCTGCGCTGACACACACACGCAGAGCTGGGCCCGCTGGGCCCGCGAGACTCCTACAGTGCCTCCAGCAGAACTCCCAGCCGCGTGGTTTTCTCCCTGGCAGGGACCGTTACAAACGGGCCCCCGCAGGGCGTCTGCCAGAAAATGGGAATGCGAGGTGCACACGCCCGGTCGAAATACCCGAATGTGACACCCAAAGTCCCAGACCAGGAAGTGTCAACAAGCAGGCGCAAAAGGGGACGAGGCAGCGAAACTCCTGGGGCACGGAAGGGACCGCCCGCAAGGCAACCCCGGCCGACCCCACGGCCCCCACCACCGCCCCAAAGTGCCGGTCCCCCCTCGCCGCCCGGCCCCCCGTGATGTGACCCTTCTGCCCACCGTACACCGTGTGGCATTTGGAAAAGAAGAGCGGCTCTTCTGCCAGAAGTATCAAGCAGTTGTAGCAGGACCAGACAAGCACGTCACTGACAGAGGAAAGATGCTCAAAGAGGAACTCTGGGTGCGAGGGGAAGAGAATGGCGGTGGTTTGATCGCAGCCCGCAGCTGAAGCCAGGCTCGCAGACTTGCTCTCCATGAGACGCGGTTGCTAATTCGTGGTAAGACCTGGAAACGTCTTCTTAACGGATGGGGAAACTGAGGCTCAGAAGGCAGTGCGTCGTGGCAGCGTGGGGCTGGAAAGCAGGTCTCCAGCGCCCAGGGTGCTTAGCGGCACGGTGCAGCGCCTGGCCTCACAGCTTCTCTGCCGGTGGCTGGCCTTGTCAGCCTCAAGCAGTTATTTCCCTTCCCTGGCCCTCGACTCCTTCCCCGGACACTGCAGAGATAGGCGCCTGCGCGGCACCGTGGACAGGGCAGCTCAGGGCACCGCTCCTGGCCTCAGGAAGCCCTGGCTCGCTCTGCCTTCTGGTCTTTCTCTTTCCACCATCCCACACTAGGTGTTATTCCTAGATGGTCCAATGAATGACAGAGAAGTAACAACGCTGTGACAAAAGGTCACAGAAGAAACCTGTGGCAAGAGGCTCCGGACTTCAGTGAGACCCGCCTCTCTGAGTCTGCCTGGTCCCGCTGAACCCGCCGGCAACCCACCCACCCCCAGTTCATGTTACCAAAGCGCCCCCGCAGGACGGTGCTGCTGCTGCGCTACCCGGGGGTCTCCAGTCAGAACTCTGGGGCTCTACCTGGGATGTCAGCATGGATGAAGGCCGGAGCGTACTTCACTGGAGCGTGGACGAGCGCCACCGTGATACAGTGAGTGCTGGCCACCTGCAGAGTCTCGTCTCTCGAGAGCAGAAGCTGGAGAAACGGGCAGCAAAGAAACACCCACGTCACACCACACCAGCACCAGGGGGAGTGGGCCGGTGACGCTGGATGGGCTCCCAGTCCGCTCTGCATCCCCCTAGCTGCCCACTTCAAGGACAGGCTGGTGCTGAGGGGTCCGCCGGGAGTGTGGACAGTCTCTGAGAGCAGCAGGTGAAGAGTGCAGAGAGCTAAGGGAGCAGGCCTGTCTGCCACCTTCACAAGGCAGCCTGCCCGGCAGGCCGCTGACAGGGCCAAGGAATCAGCTTCCGGAGGGCCCCCACACCCAGGATTGTGGAGTGGCTCGCTGCCCTGAGCTGGTGTATCTATCTGTCATGCTGCTGGAGCCGAACACCTGCTTCCTATCGGGAAGCCTGGAGTGTCGGCATGCGCTGGGCAGAGGGTGCCCATGTGACTGGCCCAGTCAAAGCCCTGGGCACTGAGACCACGAGTTCCCACTGTCACAGCTCACTGCCGGAGGACTCGGGAGCTTCCTGCGCCGCTCCTAGGGGAAGGGGCTCTTGGCAGTGAGCCTGGCTGCCCTGGGCCCGGCCCTGCACTCTGACCTTCCCTGATTTGCTTTACATCCTCACACTACTAAGCCACAGCTGCACAGGGCTGGAGCACTGAGTTACGGGGTGCAAGGGACTTGTGAGGCTGCAGGGATAAGCAGTATCAAGAGAGAGAGAATACTAGGTGCCAAGCTGAGAAGCCAGAATTTACCCCTAAAGTAATGTGGTAGCTTTGTTTCTGTTGCTGCATGTAATCTCCACCCTCAGGTGTGAAGAGGGCTACGGGGATGCAAGAATTCATGGCTCATAAGAAAGCTACTTTGAGCAGTTCCAGCCTTCAAGGAAACGCGTTGGGAATCCGTCAAGAAGGACTGATGGATGAGGACAGACCAGCGGGCACGCGGAGGCCCCTGCTATTGGGCTGAAACCAGGATCCCAGGAAACTACCTTCTTGAGCACCAAGGGCAGAGAGGGCTCCCCCGGCAGCCCCTCCACGCCGTCAGCGCGCGCCGCCTGCACACGCTTGTCCATGATCACGGCCACAAAGAGGTCATCCCTCAGCAGCTGCCTCAGCAAGCCTAGGGAGGCAAGGGGAGGGAAGCGAGGTAAGGGGAGAACAGCCACCAGAGTGTGCCGGGGTCCCTCTCAGACGCCCCTGGAAATCGGTCTGGCTTTTTTTTTTTTTCTTAAAGATTTATTTATTTGTGCATACAGAACTGGGGTACAGACCAGAGGCTCAGGGGCGGTGAGAAGCTTCACCAGAGACAGAGTGGGGAGCAGAACAGGCAGATCGACGAAGTACACTGCTGAGGGGAGCAGCGGGCGGGTCAGGAGAGGTCTGCCACGCCATGTGGTCACCTCCGGGGAAGGCGGGAATCGAACTCATGCGGAGGCGGCTTTAGATTCTCAGTGCTGTGCTTTAACCCGCTGCGCCACCAGGGAGGGCCGGTCTGGCTTTTTTTTTTTTTTTTCTTCAGCACAACTTATTTATAAATGAAAGGAAAAAATCTCAGAAGTTGAGAAAGGTAACACTATTAATACTGAACACAGTCTTTTATTTCTCTTCCAATTCAGGATTTTTTACTTTAACTATAAAGATGAGAAATCACTTTTATAACCTGAAACATTTGCTGAAACTACACTAAACATTCATAAACAATACAAGAAAGGTGAGGCAGCCCGTGCGTTCCCAGACCTGCGTGGCAGCCACTCCAGACCGGTGCAGAGCTCCCGGGGAGCCCGTCCTGCTGAGCCCCCACGGCCCTTGGCTTTCGCAGTCAGACTCCCTGAGGCCTCTGCTCCTCAGAGAGCCATTCACCTCCCGCAGTCACTGGCCACAGAGGAGGGCTAGGGCCACGGAGGTGACTAATTCTACCCATTCTTCTGCAAGTTTCCTGGTGGCCCTCTCCCGTCACCACATCTGCAGTCAGGTGGGTTTCCGTAGCCTCTTCTCTTTTTGACACCTTGCTGAAGCAGTTTTGAAAAATGCAATCACAAACTCAGCTATTCCCCAGAACACGTTATCAAAGATAATCTCCATAGGAACTGACTCCAGCTGTCCCACAATGTCATTCAGGATGGAAACCGTCTTGTTTCTTATTCTCCTTGGTCTAGAACCTTCTCGCCTACACAGATTCTCCTGCATGTTTATTCTTAGGGACTAGTTCCTCAACTTTGTTTTTCACATAGTTGGTTATTAGTCTATAGAAATAATACTAATTTTAATATCCTGTGACTTCGCTGAATGCATTTATCAATTTTAATAGTTTTGGGTGGAGTCTTCAAGGTTTTTTATAAATAACATATCATTTGCAGAGAAAATTTTACTTCTTCCTTGCTGATTTTCATGACTGTTCTTTTTCTTGCCAACTTGTTCCAGGCAGGACTTGCAGTACTTTGTGGAAAAGAGTCCCACCTCTCTGAGAGACTTCACAGCGTTTCCCACCCTGGTCTAACTGTCCACATCTGTCTCCCATTCTGCTGTATCAACTTCCCTAGACTACAGCTTGGGTTTGGCCATCCTTATGATGCCAGAGCCCAGTATAGGGCTTAGTCCAAACGAACACTCAGGATGTGTTGCTAAACTGTTCATCAGGGAGCTCTTGGCCCAGACTGTGAAGAGGCTGCTGACACCAGACTGCACTTTCCTGCAGCTCCTATGTGGAACGGGTCCTCACCTGTCACCAACCACCAGGCCCACTTGCTCCGTGCAAATATAGGCTCCCTGCTCAGAAGCACTTGACAGCTCTTGTATACTCACATAAGGAAAGAGCAGAAGACACTTGAAGAGGTGCACAGGGCTGCTCAGGCACTTCGAAGAACAAGGGTAGAAACCTGGACTTTCCCCTGGAGGCCGGAGTAATTTTCCAAGACGGCAAACTGACAGGACGCAGTATACAGCGTGGGGACTAACTGGGCAGCAAGGCCGGGCGCACGGGCCAGGCAGGAGCACGCAGGGCGGGAGCACTGCCCCCCTTCGCCGCCCCTCTTCCCAAGGCAGCATTTACATGAGGCCACACCAACCCCAGGCATCGCTCATATAATCTGCGCATCCTGGCTCCCACACCAATGGCCTCTGTCCTGGACCAGGAAGCAAGCTTCCCCGCCACGAAAGCCGCCAATATCTCAAGTCCTTGTAATGTGACTCCACTCCACAAAACCCCACGGGCTGTCTCTTCCCACCTTCTCTGAAGCTGCGTATCTTACCTAAGCAGTTGATCTGAAGCTCCTTTGTCTGGGCACCATCCAGGGTAGACAGAAAGAGGGAACACAGCTTCTCCCGAAAATGGCCCGAGAGCATCTCAGCTGCCGCTGGTGACGAGTACAGCTTCCCATAGAGGTAACAGACAGAAGCCTGCACCCCCTCGTTGGGGTAGGCTAGACTTCTGCACAGATGCTCCATCAAGTCGCCTGTCCAGAAAACCAAAGGGCCAGGGGAATCTCACAATGTCAACTGTGGTATGAAACGCCAAACCCTCACTTCCAACGGGGCTCTAATGGTCCCTACTCTAATGTCCACAATACATGCTTTCTGGACACTTAATCAGAAGGTTCAGGAAAGTTAAGGGAGATCTTTATTTGTATTTTGCTGGTTTAAAAAAAAAAAAAGATGGTTCTATTCCAGAACAGAATTTTATTTCCCCCAAAAGGGAGATTTAGAGCAGGTACTTAATTAGTTTGTATTAAAAGCGTGAATAGCAATAGCCCAAGACCGGAGTCAAGAAGCTGAACTTTTCCAAACTGGGCAGCAGAGCTCACTTTGCAGGCAGGAGAAGGAAGCCAGAGAAGGGAAGTGAAGGCCCAGGTGCGCCCAGGAGTGACCCCCCCCCCCGTGGCAGCGAGACAAACGGGGGCAAGGCAGTGGCGGCCACTCACCGCGCTCCACAAGCTTGTCTGCCAGAGCAGGCAGGGCGTCCACTAGCTTGCCCAGAAGGGTCAGGATGGCCAGGCTGCCTCGCATAGAGGGCGTGTTGCACAGCTAGACAGTGAAGACACGCTGCTCTGGGAGTCAGGTACGGGAGAGCGCCCCCAAACGCCTCACACCTGCAGCGTGCCTGGCTCACGGCAGCCAGCAGCCAGCCTCCTGACTCCCTGCCGGACTGAGTCAATTCAGGCCACAGGCCACACACGCCTCAGTATACGTTCACTAAACTGAACTGAAATGAATATACACAGCCTCCCACAGCGTCAAGAACTGACGGCGATGAGGGTAGGGTGGGGGCGAGAGCTGGGACTGTCATGAAGACGGCATGCTGGCCCCTGCAAATACACCTGTGTTATCCTTATCGCTACCGTCACTAGCAAGCGCTCTTTGCCAGACACCAGGATCGAACTCACAGACTCCAGGCAAGACTCCTAACTATTTGGACGGAAATAACCGCACCAGCCTCATAGCGTCGGCTGCTTGGAAGGACTGAATGAGTTACTCACGTAAAACACCTCACGGTGCCTGTGTGTATGAAGGGCTCAGTAAGAGTTAAGTGGCCCCATCATAATAACAGACATTTAGATGTATATACAAACTCAATCTGATAATATGCACGGTAATCATGCTTCCACAAATACAATCGATAATTGTGTAATCATAACATAAATGTGTAATTTATAATGACTCTGCTAAGTATTACGCAAACTGCAGAAACTGGTCAGCTGCCCTTCACTGCACTGTACAGGCAGACGTACGCGGTGCTCCCCTTAGAGGCGGTAGAAGCAGGGGCCTCCGTACAGACGAACGTAGCCCAGCCCAAGCCACGGAAGCGCTACGCCGCGAGGCGTGAGGCCCCTACGAAAGTCCGGCTCACGTTTCGCTACTACTGTGGCAAGGGGCTGCAGCCGCAGCACCGGGGCGGGGCAGCACGGGAAACGGGGAGAGCAGCTGCAGGCTGCGGGCAGGAGCAGACGCGCCCCGGCCGCTCCTGGTGCCACTACTGAGACGGGACCCAGGCGCTGTCCCTCTCCTCCCTGGGCTTCAATCTCCTCCCCGCCCCAGGGGGTGCCCAGCTCGGACGCCGGAGGGCTCTGCGGGGCCCCACCCGCTCACTGACCTCGTTGCGGCACTCATCCAGCAGGCAGTGGGCGGCCTGCTCGCACTTCAGCTGAGTCGTAAGCTGGACAAGGACTGAGTGGACACACAGCGTTACTAGTCAGAAGACAACCGTGGCCCTGAGCCATTCGCACGGCCCTCTGCGCGGTCAGAGCGGGGCAGCGGTCCACTCCTGCCTCCCACTAAACTGTGTGCGTGCCCAAGAGAAAGCATGCGTGGCTCACCATTGTCCACTGGGGGTCCTGACTAGGTATACAACAGACTCCCGCAGGAAGCTTTGAAAGGCCACTAACACCCAAGTCCCACCCCAGACCAATTAAATCAGAATCTCTCGGGAAGGCGCCGAAGCATCTGGGTATTCTAAAGTTCACCCAAGTAATTCTACTGTGAAGCCACGGTTGTGTTCGGGCTTGTATTTCATCTTCACTTTTCCTTCGCTCAGTTTGTTACAGCGCCTTCATTTAGTAAGAACAGACTGTAAGCAGGTTCCTACGAAATAACCGCCTATGAATTACTTTTCCACCCACCCGCCTGTACCGCCGCCTGTGAGGCTTCTGGGGCGTCCACTGAGAAGGGGGAGAAGAGACTCGCCCTAAGTGTGGAGAAGCCACAGGCGACACTCAGCCGCGGCAGAGGACGTTTCTGCCTGCTCCAGGGTGAAAAGGCGTCCCCGGGCACGCAGACGCAGGGAGCAGACAGGACGCAGGGAGCAAAGCAAGTCCTCTCTCGAGCCTTGCGGCCTCTGCCCAGTGCCCTCCACTCCAGTGAAGTCGCTGGGGTCTGCTGAGGGGTCTGTGAGCGAGGCTGGCGCCAGCAAAGGTAGATGGCTTTGGGGTTACAGCCCCACGTGAGCGGCCCCGAGGAAAATGGACATCTCCCGTTCCTGCCCGTGGCAGGACGTCGCGTAACACGTGGATTCGTCCGAATCGCCGAGCCTGAGAGGCGGTCGACGTGCACACAGCTCACACTGACACGTGAGCTGTCGCCGCTGCTAACCGGCGGGGCACGTGCCGGGAGAGCGAGGGCAGGCTGCCGGCAGTGTGGGGGCGTGCGGATGCGCCGCTCGGAAGGGCGAACGGCACGTGGGTGAAGACACTGGCTCGATGCACACGCCCCCAGGAGCCTCTACGGCTCTCGGCAGTGAAGTGGACAGGAGAGCAGGTCTGCGCGTGTTGGTCTCGCTTCCCAGTCGCCCAGGCCTTACTCAAGGGGCCGGCGCCAGGGCCTGGCGCCTACACCGCAGGCCGGAAACGGCCTGCCGTGAACGGCCCGCCGTGAACCTCCTTGCACTGAGGGCGAACCTGAGCGCCAAGCCCAGCCCGGCCCGGCTAGGTGGGCTACACGGCTCTGTCCTCGCTGGAGTGAGCGTGCAGCTGCTTTCCACGCCGCATACTCCTGCCCGCCACACGTCCGCAGATGTGCAGAATGACCAGCTCAGCCGCAGCGTCCTCGCATCCGCTGGGGGAGGAAGTCAGTTAGAGCCAGAGCACCACAGCTATGGCCCCAAGCCATGAAGTTCACGGTCTTGCTCCGCCTTCCATCACCCAGAAGCAACTGGCCTGACAGAGCCAGAAAGGCCCACAAAGACTCCGTGGGGCACCAGATGAAGGACACCATTCGGAGTGCAGGGATCTGCTTACCCAGGGCAGTCAGAGACTAACGAGTACAGAGTCGTCTTCCCCAGTCAGAATACCAGCTCAGGGAACTGAAGTGAGGCGGGAGTCGGTCTTCTCACTATTAGACGTAATCACCCACTTTTATTATCCTGTCCCTACAATTTTAAGCTTCTAGTATAGAGGTTTCAGTTGCTACGGGAAGAACACTTCCAGGAGAGAACGTAGTAATAGTCTCATTGAATTAGAAGCTGAGACTACCGTTTTGAACTCTGTTTACCACTGAGCCGACAGGCAAAGAAAAAAAGGAGTCAGCTGCCTGGAGAGACTGATCCCAATACCAGAGAGAAGCTAGCTGCTGCTAACGGGAGAGCAAGACTGTGCGCGGGCCCCGGCTTCTCGGGAGCCCTCTTATGGCTTCCATGTTCAACAGTACAAGGTAAGGGGAAGCTACAGTAACCGAGAAAAGGCAGCATGGCTGAAGACTACATGCTTCGGGGATGCAGAGACGGCTCACACGTCAGGCCAAGTCCCAGGCGACTGATGTAGCGGCCGAGGCAAACACATGGAAAGGGCAGCGGAAGAAAGAACTTGTCGGTATTAACCACAGCTACGTGGCCAGCTAAGGAAATGAAGACTGTAATGAGAATGTCTGTTTGTATATGTTAACTCCTGTCCGCTCTTTTATCACTTGGATGAATCTTGTTGAATGTTCGTTTTAAATTTTAATCTTCCAGTACACAACATTCCGATGGGGCTATAAATAAACTCAAAAATGAATTGTCATGGCCCAGAGATGGCGCAGAATGACTGCGTCTCCCAAGTGGATACAACTAACACCGGACTTTGCAACTGCCTTGTTGACGACCGGGGCAGCTGTAGCTGTATGAAGGACATTGCCTCTTGTCAGAGAAAGACACAGTTGCGTTGCTGTGTAGGAGTTCAAATACGCGCGTGCAAAAGCATGTGCCTGGATACCAAACAGCCAACAGGGTGACCAGCCAGTCGTTTCCCTCCACCTCAGCTCCAAGCTAACCTTTCTGTACCTGGATGTGAGGTGCTGGGGCTGCAACTCTGCAAACCACGTTTCTCTCTGCCAGCTGGCCTTCCGGGGGTTCGGCCAACTATAGGCAACTATAGCAAGGCCGTAGAAGGGGGGGCTCCCTTGCCCCTTCCTCTGTCCCTGGCTTCCCGTGGCTTCCTGTCTGTGTCCACTCGAGCCGGGGCAGCGCCGCAAAGCCGGATCCGGACTGCGCTGTCTCCCTGTACCTCTCCTCCCGAGAGGTATCCTCCGGTCAGTGCTCTGCTCAGAGTTGGCTCCCAGCACCCAGCGGCCGCCTCTGGAGACCCACACCCAGAGACCCACGGCAGCCAGCAGTACCCGCCCCCAGTTTCATATACTGAGTTCTTCCTCCATGACCTTGTAAGTCTTAACAATTCCAATTTCTTGCCTTTGTTTCCGCAATCCTAAAGGCAGGAACTCCTCTTTCGGTCTTCAGTTATCTAGTAAATGACTATTGAAAGTTTCTTTTCTGTTCAAATAAGTTCTGTGGTTTGTTTCCTGACTGGATCTGAACTGACACAATTCTTGCTTTTTCTGCAAGAATTCTGCCATCCCAATGTTCTTGTCTTTGTCCTCCTCAAGCCCTTCACACACACACTTGCACAGCTTTAACCACCACCTACATGTAGTTAACTTCCAACCAACCAATGCGAATTTAAGGAAAGCAAAGTGTTGTGCATGCCTTTGTGACAGCGCCCATTTAGCTTTTATTTACCAGTCCATCTCCTCCAAACTGCAAACGCTTAGAGATCCGGGACTATGTCTTACCCATCTCTCCCTCCCTAGTGTCTGATACAATACCTGGCGCAGCGTAGGAACCAAGAAAGAAATGCAAAAGTAATGACTGACAACTAGTTGATTTCTCTGTATGTCTCCAAAGTGGAACATTTCAACAAGGTCTCAGATAGTCAGAGCTACAATTTATGCTGACATTACCACTTCTAAGGCCAAACACATAATTCCACCTTACCTTCGATACAGAGGTCTGTGACACTCCCGTCTTCTGCACTGCATAACAGTCCTTGGAGCGGTGGGAGGTAAAAGGCAGATGATGAGTAGTTAAGAGAGAAGCAAGCCCACAAAGGCACACCATGAAGTCTAAAACTAATAGCAGCTTAAGCAATGCCCCAGCTAAATTCAACCCTCAGCACCAACTTGACTTCCAATGTTCCACTCTGGCTTTAAAAGGATAAAAACAATGCAGCACAGAATAAAAACCGCACTCTGGAATGTAGCAGACCTGGGGTAAAATGCCACTTCTGCCAGCTGTGAGCTACAATCTCGCAGCCCTAGGGCCTGTTCTCTTTCCCTTAAAGCACTGTCTCAGCAGTGGAAAGCCCGAAGGGCTCTTGCAGAGAAAAACACACAATGGGAGCGAGCCCAAAGGGCTGCGTCAAAGGAGAAACCTTTTCATCCATCTCATTTTATACAGGAAGAAACTAAGGCCCGGGAGAAAGGACATGACTAAATCAGGGTCACACCCAGGTCGGCAGACACCAGTGTGGACCTTCTGATTCTGTTCAAGGGTCTTCCAGGCTGCATTCTTTGAAGAATCATCATTCTCCATAATCACCTTCCCATTTTTACCAACCGCTAAGCTGTCGTGAAGCCTATTCCCAAACACCGAATCACACAGCTGAGGAAAGGAATCATTTCATCACATGACAAAACAACCTGCCGGTAAATTAAACTGTACCGCTGCACAAGGCCTACATGTTTAAGACCCTTTCTCCAAGCCCCAGAGCAAATATACACGCTCTGTGTGCAGAGTTCCTGGCCAGACTCCCTTTGAATCTCACCGAAAAGCAAGCTCATGAAGTGGGTGCAGACTCTCTGGTCCTGGGCCACCAGCTGCATGACCAGGGGCGTGTGCCGCAGGAGGGCGTCTCGGAAGCAGGACAGCAAATGCTTCTTGCGCACCAGCTTGGGGCAAATGCAGAAAGTATTCAGTAGCAACCAACAGCAACCCAAGCTGTAAGTTTCCAATAGAACTACAAGCCGGTCCTGGAGGGGTCGGAGGCCCACAGGCAGGCAAGGCCGCCCCACGGCCCCGAGCATTCAGCGGGGATATAACAGGCTGAGTCCTAGCAGCCTACATTACATGGCATCTGACCTTCCCAAATCACTCCTGTTTGTTTATGCATACAAGAACTGGGGTGTACGTCAGAGCTGTGGGGGGGCGCTGAGAAGATTTACCAGACAGAGTGGGGAGCAGAACAGGCAGATTCACTGAAATCCACTGCTGAGGGGAGCAATGGGGAGGCAGGAGGCGTCTGCCGTGCCCTATGGGCCACTCCCTGACTGGGGATGGAACTCAGGCCACAGTGGCTGCCCAAGGCTGATGCCTCTGAGACTTGAATCGCTACGCCATCGTGGAGGCCCAACCCAAATCACTCCATTAACTCATTTAAGCCTAACAATGTGGTAAAACAAGCAAAAACATAATACTGATCATCACCATTTTGGAAACAAGAAATCTGAGGCTCAGACACTTTCCCGAGGACTCAGATCTAAGTGTCCCACCAGGTCAGAGCTCTTTCCACTACAGCAGTCCGAGGTGTGATTCCAGGGACCCATCATGCACGTCACTGAGGTAGGTGAGAAAAACAGCCTCCCATGCAACGCAGAAGTCACTTCCCTGTACAGGGAACTGAGTAGTAACTGTGCAAACACTCAAGGCAACAGCAAAAGCCAGGTCAAAAAAGGGGCGACGTGAAGGACAGAACAGGAGCACGGCTACAGGCAAGTCTCTCACCCCGTCAGCCCGTGCTGTCTCGTGCTGCTGAAGTCTTCACCACGGCCTCTCATGGCAGATTACGAAATGACCTAAATAAATTACTCCAAAAACGGATGATCTAGAAATGACCTGGAAAAATTACTCCGTGACTTTCCTTCACCTGACAAATTAGATCCAAGCTCCTCAGCTTGGCTTCCAGCTTTCCACGGAACTGATCTCAACCTGGCTTCAGCCTCACCTGCCCGAACTTTCCTTGGAACACCCCGATTCCCTCTTCAAGCTGCTCCTGCTGGCGCCCACCTCGTGAGGTGAGCCCCTCTCCTCCTGCCCAAATCAAGTCTCAGCCATCTCTCAAACCTAGCCCAAACAATTCCTCCTTTAAACACGCGTCTCCTCGCTTCCCTCGCCACCCGCCAGCACCTACCCACAGCGGCACGTCTAGACCCGGCCCGTGCTGCCCCACCTGCCCACCTGCCTCTGACTCACCGGGAGAACAGCAGCTGCAGCACTCAGGCCCCGAAGGCACCTGGACACCGGTACAGTCGGGGACCCCCGAGGGTGCCAAAACCTTTCCAGGGGACCCGCGAGATCAAATCTGCCTTGAGGTGAACCGGAGGCGCTCTGCCGCTTCCGCGCCGGCTGCCCCCACTGATGGCGGCGGCAGCGCCCCAGGTCACAGGCTAGCAGGAGAGGCCGCCACGCGGGAAGCCAGGCCGGGCCGCCGGGCAGCCGCGCAGCACTGCAGCCCAGCTCGCTTCCGGCCCCCTTCAGCGCTGGGAGCAGGTCCTGGCGCAACTAAAGCCCCGACTGCGCTTAAAAGTCAAACCAGTGACTTATGTCACAGCCTCCTGGCGGCCGCGCAAGTCTCCCGCCATCAGGCCACTGAGGCACCCCAGGGCGACCCCCAGGGCCCGCAGGTCTCTCCTGCCTCCCCCTGCACCCCTCACAGTGCGTCTCAGGGGGTCGCCTGTGCTGCTCCCCCTCTGGCGACTCTCTCACCCCCACCTCTGGCCTTCACCCCGTTCTTGTATGCATAGATTCCGTTACACACACATCACCAAAATAAAAACGCCACTGTGCAGGGTTGGAACCCCGCTTCCTCGGGCAGGCGGCACCGTGGCTGTAACCCACAAACGCAAGCTCCCGGGGGCCTCGACAGCCCCGGGCGGGACAGCCCCTACTTCAGCCTCAGCTCCACCCAGGCGGCCGCCCGTGGCTTGAATTTGAGAGAAAATTGTCCCCCAGCGAGCTCCAGGGGCGCAGGCAGAGGTGGGTCGGCTTGGGGAGCCCAGGCAGCCCACCTTTAGGCCAGCTCTGCTCCTGCACCCCACTTCCACCTGGCTGGTACATCACCCCTCGTTTTCCTGCCCGTGCCGACTGGGCAGAAATGGCGGGGGCGGAGCCGGGAAGACGCGGGGTGCAGAAGGGGGAAGGCGGCCACACACACGGGTGGGGGGCGGGGTCCCCAGACAGTGCGGACAGGGGGCCGGCTGGCTGGAAGCGCTGACGAGGCCCGGCCGTCCGCTGAGGCGGGAAGGCTGCCTGCCTGGGGGCGCAGGGCCGGCGGTGACCGCGCGTGAGGGAGGCGGCGGCTCAGCTCGCACCGACACGCAGGGCTCCGGCAGCAGCTCCAGCGCGCAGGCCAGGCAGAGGCGAGGGGTGGCGGGCAGCAGCCAGCGCGGGTCGTGGCGGTGGTGGGCCTTCTCCAGGAGCAGCGCCGCCTCTTCGTCCCTCCCGGGCCGCGGCAGGGCCGAGTCCCTCGCAGCCATCCTGCAGCTCGCTGGCACGCTCGCGCCGCGCTTTCCCGCGCAGTTGGTGCGCATGCGCGCTCGGTGGGGGCGGGGCGCTTATACACCTTCCGCAGCGGTGGGGTGTGCGGGTGGGCGGGGATCAGACAGCTGGAGGAGTGGGGAGCCCCAAGTGGTCTGCAAGAATTTGGGCCTCCGAGTGGCGCGGCGGGTTAACGCACAGCACTATGAAGCTTTCGGCAGAGACTGCAGCATGGGTCCGATCCCCGGCCGGGAGGGTGCCCCACATGGCGCGGCAGACCTCTCCCGACCCGCCCGCTGCTCCCCTCAGCAGTGTATTTGGGTGACCTGCCTGTTCTGCTCCCCACTCTGTCTCTGGTGAAGCCTCTCACTGCCCTTGCACCTCTGGCCTGCACCTCAATTCTGTATGCATAAATAAATCTTTTTTTAAAGTAAAAATTTAAAAACACAAATTACCCCAAACCCCACAAGGGAACACTCAGAAAACATGTGCCAAAGGGCCAAATAACCAATTTTAGTAGAGGCTTTGGGGGTAAACAAGCCACTCTTGTGCCTTCTCTGGCCGGTTCTGAGCGCTCCGGGCCTGTAATCTACCTTCTGAAGCCATGCTGGTGCAGAAAACACCTAACGTAGTTCACAAAACCAAACTTGCGGGGGGCTGATGGATTCTGTGGGACCCCATTTGGAGTCTCCCAAGCACCTTGGCTTTGGGGGCCCTCTGTCTTGGGAAGAGAAGCTGCAGCCCAGGAGTGAGCTGGGGGCTGCAGGTCCCTCTTCAAAGTGTGGTCTCTCACGCTGCCTGCTCCTGCCTGGGAGTCACCCCCTTTGCGGAGGGACATAGGACCCGGATCCCTCAGACTCAGACTGGGGGCTGAGTGCTGGGGCTCGGCCAGGGGAGGGCCCCCCACCAGCTTGCCCAGCAAGGTCCTGCCCAGCCCGGCTGCGGCAGAGTAGAGACCCCCTTTGAAGCTGGGGGTGGCGGAGGAGCTGGAGCAAGGCTGCTGACCCGGGTCTCTGCTGTGCGTGGATGCCAGGCTTCCTCTTGCCCAGCGTCTGGGGGGCTTCACGGGCTTCTGGGGCGGGCACTCTCCCTCCCAGGAGTCACAGCGCGTCCTGGAGTGTGGCCTCCTCTCGGCCAGCAGGGAGATGCCTGGCCTGACCAGGTTCCTGCCCTTGCCGCTCTCACTGGACAGCGCTCCCACCCTTTCTGGGACCCCACTGCTCCTAGATTCAGGAGGATCCCAGAGCGTGGTCCTAAGGGGAGCCTCTGCCTGAGCAGCTTGTGGTTCTCTGGGGCCCCCTGGTGGCCGTGATCGCCTAGGCTTTTCAGGGCAGACGGAAATGCCACTGGACTGGAACCTGGGGGGTCCACACCTCTCCAGAGTTCTGATCCCTGTTGGAAGGTTGGAGTTTTTTCTTACTGGAGGCGGAGGTCTCTGGGGCTTCTTGGGGACTGGCCTGGAACCCGGGGCCCCCTGCTGCCCTCGGAGCTCCCCGCCCTCCACTCCAGGGAGCTCCATTGCAGCAAGGGGCAGTGAGTGGAGTTCTTTGAGGTCAGAGAGCGAGTGAGAGGCCCGGATGCGCTGCGGGAGCCCCCACTGCAGGTGAGCCATCTTCCGCCGCATGAGGGACTCCAGCAGCAGTCTCTGGCTCTTCTTGAGGGCTGGCCACTTGGGCAGGACAGTGAGGGCGGGGGGGACTCCCACCAGAGCCGCGGCAGCTTGCGGGGCTCCGTCACATGAGAGAGAGGGGCAGGCGGAGGCTAGGCCTAGCGGAGCAGCCAGAGACTGTGGGTTCTGGAGATGCTCCGTCAGCCTGGAGGCCTCCCCTGGGGCCACCTCTTGGTTCCTCCGTCGCCTTCTTTGGGGTTTAGGTCGGGCCTGCTGGGGGGCTGCAGGGACCTCCACCTTGCCCTTCCTGGCGGGAGCCGAGCTCTGGCTGGCCAGATGCTCTCCCTGCCCGCTGGCCACTGGGATGAGCTCCTCCCGGCTGGGAATACGCTTTCCCTCAGGACAGGGAGCGGAGGCCGCTGCCTCTTCCTGCTCCGTGACCTCGTGTCCAGAGCCAGAGAGAGCTGGGGGCCCCTCACTCCCAGAGCAGTCAACTTGAAGATCGGTTCCAGCGGCCTCTCTTCCTCTGCTCCGGTCTTCGCTCCCTCCTCTCCCCCCAGCACCCTCAGATCCGCACAGGCTCTGGCTCCCGACACCCTGGATTTCTGCCGCACCCCCAATCTCTGACGCAGTTTCACTTCTTAACCATTTCTGCTCATCTCCCTCTGGGGCCTGGGCTTCGGAGCCATCCTCGCCCCTGGTGCCACTCTGCTGTCCGTCCCCTTGAACTTGAGTCTCTGCGTCACTGTCACCTCCAGTCTGCCCCTGGTTCTGCCACTCTGATGACCAGGTATCTCCACTAGTCTTCCTTTGTATCAGTCTCAGGTTCACTTCGCTACGTTTCTGGATGTTTCTACCATCCTCACTGCCAACCTCTCTCTCATTTCTCTTCTCCGGTGCTTGATTTTCTGCAATGTCCTGGTCTCCAGCCTGCTCCCGGGCCCTCCTCCACGGTGGAAGAGCCTCCCCAGTTTCTCTAGGTGACCGTCTCCTGTTCCTTCTCTCGGGTCTCTGAGTCTCTGCACCATCCTCATCTCCAAATTCTCTCTGGTTTCTCGTCTCTGGAGGCTCCATTTGTGCTCCATTCTCGCCTCCCCTGTGCTCCGGGTTCTGCCGTTCTGACAAATGGGCCTTCCCGTCGGTGTCCCCTCGTAACTGACCCTGGTCTCCTTCGCCAGCCGCCCAGGTCTCCGGACCTTCCTCTGCTCCGGCCGCTCTCGGACGTCCGTCCCCGGGAGCTGTCACTTCTGCTCGTTTCTCTCCTCCAGCCCGCTCCTCCTGCTCCCGCTCCATCAGACGGGTCCTTCCTTGGCCGTCACGTGCTTGCTCCCCCCGGTCCTCTGCCGCAGCCGCCGGGGTGTCAGCACCCCCTCTGCTCCTCAGGCGCTGGTGACTCCCCCACTCTGGCCTATTAACATCTCCACTAACTTCCCTGCTTAACTGACCCTGCTTTTCTTCCCCAGGCTTCTGGGCGTCTTCGCTGTCGTCACCTGTCACCCCTTTTGGGTCCCTCTGCCTTGGGGCCTGGATGTCCGTGCTGCTGTCATTGTCATGCTTCTTGCCAAACTGCTCTTGGCTTCTCCCTGCCGACGGCTGGCCCTCGACATGAATGTCACCTCGTAACTGTGCCTGCCCCTCTGCCTCCGGTGCCAGGGCCTCCGGTGCCAGGGCATCTGTACAGCCCCCACCCCCACCCTTCTGGCCGCGCCGCGCCCGCACCTGGGCCTCTGTGCTGTGTCCTCCCCCATCCTGGCCCCTCTTCCCCCCAGGCGGCATCTCAAATTCTCTGACAAGTTCGCTGATGGCGGGCGCCTGGTCTCCCCACCACAGCACCTCCATCACCATCCAGTCCTCCTGCCTTATCTCCCTGAGGAGCTTCCTTGGAGGGGGCTGGCTTGCCCCGGGACCCTCACCTCTTTGCAGGCCTCGGGGTCCCCGCCCAACTTGAACTTCCCGTCGTGGCTGTTTCTGGCTCTCTCCCCCGGGTTCTGGGGTCTCCCCAGGGCGCTCACGGCTGTGTTGACCCTGCTCCTCCCACCCTGGTCCTGGAGTCTCTGTCAGAGTCCCGCACCCCGCACAGCCCCGTTTGCCCCGCCCCCGGGCCCAGGTCCCCTCCGCGTGCCCTTTGTGTACTCCTGCCAGGGTCTGTGTCTCTGGTACTTGGATTTGCATCACGGTGGTGCCTGCTCCAGCCTGGCCCTGGTCTCTCCTCTCTGCCTGAATTTCTGTGCTGCTGTCACCGCTAACCTGGCTTTGCTCTGCCCACCCAGGCCCCAGGGCCTCCTCGCCGCTCTCACTTGCTGCCTGACGCTGGACCCCCGAGCCTCGGGTCTGGGTCTCTCCTCCTTCCCCCCCTCTGTCCTCTTTCTTGCTCTTCTCCAATGCCTGGGTCCCCGCGGCCGTCCCGGTGCTGCTCTTCACCAGGTTTCCCCACGCTGGCGTTTGGGTCTCTGCATCAGTTTTGCATCCTGACTGCTCCTGGGCCTCTCCCCTGTGCGGCTGGGTTTCAGAAGGACCCTCAGCCGCAGCCGCCCTCTGCTTTCTCTCCCTCAGTTCCCGAAGGCTGGCTCTCCTCTCAAGCCCCATCTGCTCTCGCTTCTCCCATCCGGGTGTCAGGCTCCCTCGGTCAGTCTGGCTGAGGCCTGGCCTCTGACCTCCCGCCTCCAGGACCCTGGTCTCCGCATCATCCTTCAATCCAAAGCCTACTGGGGGTTGCCTCCTAGGGGCCTGGACTGCCCCGGCCTCATCTCCTCTGTCCTCTTTCTGGCTCGCCCACTCCAGAGCCTGGGTCTGTCCACTCTCTTCTCTGCTTCGTGTCTGACTTTCCCGCCCAGAGGCCCAGGCCTCACGAGGACAGCTCCAGCGCATTCTGGTGGGCATTCTCACCTGCTGGGCTGAAGAAACGAGCAGTAACTCTCTGGAACAGAACGGCAGCCTCCGAGCGGAAGGGAGCTTTGGGAAGGAGGTGGCTGAGGCCACAGAGACGAGGTGGGGCGGCAGGCTGACAGCAGCCCCCTCTGACACTGGCTTTTCCTGGGAGTGGACAGGCAGCTGCCCCACTCTTCGGTGCCTGGCCGGCGTGCGAGTCTGATGGTCGTGGGGACACCAGGGTGCCTGCCAGGCTTCCCAAAAGCTATCCTGAGGGAGCACAGAGGTACTTGAGAAGGAGGAAAAAGAAATGGACTCAGCAGAGCTGAGGACATCCCAGGACGGTCCCTGGCGTGGCTGCTGCCAAGATAGCTGGCACTGTGGCCATGGCTGCTGGAGGCGCCGCTGGCAGGCCCACCTCCCCTTCCGTGCCCATGGCTGGACATGAGCGCCCAAGCCCCTGCACACGTCAGGGCTGAAGAGGAATTCAGGGGTACGCTCCAAGCAAGGGTCACATCTCATGGAGGGCTCTGCCCACTTCTGTGGTGGCACCTGTGGGCGAGAACACAGGATTGCGGTCTTTGCACACGTCCCACAGATCAGAGGCATTAATCTCCACCATGCCAGTGAGGACACTGGGACTCAGGCCAGGGGGAGTCACTTCCCTTAGAGCAGACAGCTTGCATTTGTTCGAGAAAGCATGGCTATTTCTGCAAGCCCTCACTGATGCCACCAGGGCAGAACTGGACCTATCTTCCAGACACAGAAGACATGATACCAGTGTGCCACATGTGCTCATGGAAATAAAAGCGGAAGGGGGTGGGGATGGAAAAGCCCCACTAGGAGCTGACATTTGACCGGAGACCTGAATGAACAGGGGGCAAACCAAGTGACATCTGAAGGAAGAGCACCGTAGGCCGAGAAAGATCAGTGCAATGGAACAGGCCACGTGTTCAAGGACAGCGAGGAAGCGAGAGGCCCACAGGGAGAGGGGAGGGAAGCGCTGGGGGCAAGGTCAGGCAAGCACAGGACTGGCTGTTGAGCCAGGTGGTGCTAAGTTCCGCAGGGAGTATATCCACAAGGGCCCCTGCAAGGTTTTGAGGAACCAAGCTCCCCAGTGACAGGGTAGAAGCCAGGCACAAAAGAAGGCCTGCTCCCAATAGCGGCAAAACGAGTCTCAGCCACTAGAAATGTTGCTGGGACTGCAGGTCGGGCTGCCGGCCTCGTGCCGCAGCGATGGCTTCAGTCTGTGACCTCGGCTTTGATCGAGGTCGACAGCTCACGATCTAAAAAGGAGGAAGAGAGAGGAGGTCATTCTTTCGACCGTGTGGAACGCAGCTGAGTGGTTGAGAGAGAGCGGCGACTGGAGCCGGGCAGGGCAGAAGGCAGTTTCTACAGTCCAGTCGTTTCTACAGTTTCTGCAGCTGAACGGAGGGGAGTCTGCCCAGGACTGTGCCAGGCTGTGGCAAGTGTGCTTGAGATATGAGTGACCAGTTATGAGAAACTGTAAGGGGGCAGCCTCCAGGCCAGAGGGCGGTGCCAGTGGCCAGCTGGCTAGGACAGGTGGAACTTTCTACTCCCCCAGTCCTTGGGACAATTCAGCTGGGCCCCTAGTTCCTAGCCATCCCCACAGTTAGTTAGCAAGTGGGGCCGAAAACTCCACCTCCCATCGGGCTGGTCATCCGTGTTACACACTGGCTGGGAGGTTGCCTCTCTCAGGATATGGTTTGTAAGTAGATGGATTGTGGAACTGTGAAGGGGGCAGGGATTTGGGGGTCCAGGGCTTGGAACCTGCTGACGCACTCCTTGGCCAGCCTGACTTCCCTGATGTGATTTCGAGTTCACAGAAAAGAATCTTGTCCCGAGTGGTTGAGACAGTCACGGAAGGAGGTTTGTGGGGTCCCCTCACCTTGATGGTCTTCTTCATTCTTGGATGGGACCTGGTGACCTGGTGCCAGGAGTGCCGGACCTGCCAGATCACAAAGAGGAAGAGGACGAGCAGGTTGCCACAGCACCGGGGGTCCCTGCAGCTGCGGTGCTCGGGGAGGAGGGCCCGCACTGGCTCCCACTCGGCGCCCTGGAATGGCCCCACCAAGGCACAGGCACCCAGCAGTGGCAGCAGCATGACACGTCTTAGGTCAGGCCGGTGGTGTTGGGGACTTGGAAGACAGGACTGGATGGCTGGCCCAGCCAGGGTGGGGTGGGACGGCTCCTGCCTCAGACCACCTCTGTCACTGAGGCCACCTCACAAAGCGTCTGATGCCCCAGCCATGGCTCCTCTTGAACGTGGTCACCAGGCTGGCTTGCATACACTGTGGCTGGTGGGTACAGAGTTGGGGAGCTTCCCTGGAGGAGTTAAGGAGAATTTGTCTTAAACGTGCTTGTCGTCTGCAGTGAGGAGACGGGGCTGCCCCCATGTACAAGGGGGTGACGGTAGCCGCTGTCGGCAGCCGCTGTCGGCTTGATCTTTCTTCCTATTTCTTTAACGCATGTGTCTGTCTTCCCAACAGCAAACATGTAGTGAAGGTGACATTGACCCTGTGTCTGACGACCCAGCACTCCTTCCTCTTTGCACTGTATCCAGATTTTCTGTTAGCGGGCGACTTTTGCCATCTCAGAATCAATAGTGGTGGGGAAATAAATGCCACCCTGAAAAACATCTTCCACCAAAGTTTGTATTCAAAACACTGCGGACTGGACCCGGCAGGGTTATAACCCAATCAGAAATGGGCGGGCCTTAGGGTCAGCAAAGTGATGGGACAGAGTGTTTACAGTAACAAACGATACCAGTAATAGCAAATCAGAAAGAAGGGGGCGAGACCTCGAGCAAAAACCGAGTCATACGTGTAAATACCCTAAAAAGGGCGTTTTGAAGCATTTTTACTGAACACATGCAGTTTTGAATACCAGGCAAATTAACTATATGGGCAGTCTCAGCCTCCTCGGACGATCCTGAAAGCACCGCTGAAACCGTTTGTTCGGCTGTGTTAAGTCTTGAGCGTTTACCACCACTTTCCACCAGCTCACGGGCCGCCCAGAACGCAGCCAAGGCGACTCGTCGCCCAGGAGGCAGCCGCTCGCCCCGCCCCTGGGCGTGGCCCCCGCGGCCGGCGACGCCACTTCCGCTTCCTGCTGCGCGCGCGCGGCCATTTCTCCTCGTCCGTGCGACTTTCCACCGGCGGGTGCAGCGCTCGCGCCCGGGCTCCGGCAGTGCCCCTCCAGGAGTGGGAGACCGCGGCACCGCAGCCATGGTGAGTGGGCGGCGGCCGGGGCACTCGGCCCGGCTGATCCCTCGCTGGCCTGGGTCCTGCGGGTCCGCGCCGTCCCCTGCGCCGGGCCGGGTCGGAGCTGGGGAGACCGCGCAACCCCGCTACCCGGCCCCGGGTTCCAAGTCCCGCGGGCGCGGGACCTCGACAGCCCGGCCCGAGGTTGCTCTGGAAACCGCAAGGCTCAACTGCTGCGATCTGGGTGGGGCGCCGTGCCGCAGTCTGCGCGAGCGGCCGAAGGCCTGGGTGGGCGGAGGGGCAGGGCCCGGCCCGCGGGAGACGGACCTCCCCACGTGGCAGGGGGTGTAAAGTTGGGTGAGCAAGCTCCGTTCCACCTTTTTTATTTCTCTGGGGTCGCTGGAGGATGGTCTGGACCCCTGGCTCCGGGTCCACGTGCCCCAACCCATTCCTGATGTTCGGGGGAGGAAGATGTTCACACCCCGAGCCCCACGTGCCAGGAGCTTTTGGCGATCGGAGACCGCGGGGTGACCCCGACTCCGGTCTGGACTGTAGAAAGGCTTCATCTGCGAAGTGTAGCCTCAGAAATGAGAAACCACGTGCCACTCCTCTAAACTCTTTGGTGATCTCGAATTTTGAATCAAATCGTGCGGCTGCTTTGGTTGACACTTGGTAGGGAGGGAAGAGTTTGCAAAGCGCAGCCACTTCCATAAGAGGTTTAACCCTTCCCTCGGATCTTGGGTTCGAGGGTACCTCCCTCCCCTCTGCACTCCACTCCACGTTCAGAACGCGAAACTTCTAAAGCAGTCTCCTCTTAGGCTGTGCTGCTCCGTGAAGTTTTGGAATTTGATGGTCTTGAGTTGAATTTTCCTGGGTGCAGGCTGCAGGGGATTAAATTCCACCAGGGACTGCATGTTGTGGGCCTAGCCCTAGGGCTTGGTGAACTGGGTGGGTGAGGGAGCAGCGTTTGTTACAGGTTTTGACAGGCTCAAGAGTGGGGAGAATGGATCGGCCTGGTGGTATGATTTCTTTCATTCTTTCAGTGAAAAAATTAAGGTGGAAAATACACAGCAATCAACTCTCAGGCTGTTTGTGAGCTCGGTAGTTTGAGTCAACCTTTTTGTTGTAAGTTGGTACTAGAAGGGTGAAGTGACCCCTCCTGATGAGTCTTCCTGCCCCTGCAGTCGTCCCCTTGGGTACATTTGAAATTTACTGGGAGTAATATCCCAATAGAGATCCTAATTTCCAGAGATGGGCTTCGGGGCCGGAGTAGAAATACCTGACATTTTTAAAAGTATGGGAGGGACTGGAGTGAGTGTCACTGAGTCATTGTTTGATGAGCTAGTGTCCGTAAGTTGTGAATTCTTACTTAGCCATCAAAAGAAAAAGGCCAAACCGGCAGAGGGAATAATAGTGAAAAAATGATTGGAAACCCAAAGGATGAATAGCAAGAAAAAGGAGAACAGACAGGACACGTAGACAGCACAAAAGGAGATTTGAACCAACTTACTGGCGGGAGTTAAATACTCCAGTGATAAGACCGGAGTAAAAAGAATAGAAAACAAAATGTTAATTTAGAAGAGAAGATCTCAGCAAAAAAAGAATGGCTAAAAAGTGAGGCTTGAATAAAATGACAGTGATGTAGTACAAGAAGTAGGTAAAGTGGTAATAACTGCCAGCGCGTCAGTCTGCGAGGCAGATCCCGGAGCCAGGACCCTCGTGTGGACATAGAGGGTGGCCCAGCGGCCATGGGGAGCCTCGCGGGCCCTGCACCAGGCGGCGGAAGGCGCTCTGCGAAAGCCAGGAGCATCTGTAACGGGCTGGCTGCCTACCGGGTCTAAAACCATTTCCAACACATTTCGAAGGACTGATAGTAGTAAACCATGTTCTCCCAGTCAGAACCCAAGTGAGTCAGACACTAGGGAGAAGATGCTTTGGAAGAAGGTAGCAGGAACCCAGGGTCAGTTCGTGAAGCGCAACAGGCAGCAGCTCCTGCCCCGTGACTGCAGGCGTTTGTTTCCTTCTCTTTCTAGTAAACCTGTCCTTTTAAAATGTGGGCACGGCGGCCTCCCTGTGGCCTAGGGGGCAAGTCTCAGCGCTATCCCCACCACGGTATCCGATCCCAGGGCAGGGAGTGACCCACAAGGCACTGCAGACCCCTCCTGTCTCCAGTCTGCCCCTCACTCTGTCTCTGGTGACTCCTCTCCTCGCCCCCCACCTCTGGCCTGCACACCAGTTCCTGTATGAGCCTTGGGGAGCCCTCAGCTGTGAGCTTGCTCTTGCTGTTTGCGGTGGAGCCCTCGGAATCAAGCCGGAGGCCCACTGGGCAGTGCTGACTTCTGACCCTCCTACTATACTTCTTGTTTTTTGTTTTAAGGTAAAGTTCTAATTTTTTTTAAGACTTAATTATTTTATGCATTGTGCATATGAAACTGGGGTACAAGCCAGAAATGCAGGGCCGGTGATTCACCAGAGACAGTGGGGAGCAGAACAGGCAGAATGAAGTGCACTGCTGAGGGGAGCAGTGGCGGGCCAGGAGAGGTCTGCTGTGCCTTGTGGGTCACCTCCAAGGCAGGGATCGAGCTCACACTGAAGCAGCCACTGGTGGGCCTTGCAGTGCTGCACTTGAACCCACTGCGCCACCAGAGTGGGCCCTGTATTTCTTGTTTTTAAGGGGAAGCAGGCAGGCCAGTGTCAGTTGAGGGTGCCTGTTTTGGGAGCGGGGGACTGTGGGGGGTAGATTCTGACTGTGGGGGGTGGATTCTCTTCTTTTGTAACTTGCCTGGGGTGACTTCCGGTTCAGGACTGACTGAGGCTGTGCTTCCCCGCAGACTGAGGCCGATGTGAATCCGAAGGCCTACCCCCTCGCTGATGCCCACCTCACCAAGAAACTACTGGATCTTGTTCAGCAGTCGTGTAACTACAAGCAGCTTCGGAAAGGAGCCAACGAGGGTGAGGCAGCGGGCGCTCGGGAAGGGAGTTAAACGCCCGTCTCTGGCCTAGACCTGCAGTTTGCAAAGGGCACTACGCGTGACCTGAGGGAGAGCCGCGGGGTGCTGAGAGCGGCATTTTGGCATTAGATCTAAAGGTTAATGAACTGAGAGTGTTTTAGATCCAACAAGTGTTAGCTTTTCACCACGCATGCCCTCTGCGAGAATCCAGATGGACCAGGCGGAGCAGCTCTGGAGCCAGCTCTTGCCTGGGACTCCAGTCAGTGTGCACACGGTCCTGGAGGCCTGGGCCCAGAGAATGAGCTCAAATAAGCACCACTTAGGCAGTGCTGGGGCCGGAGCCGCCCCCCCCTCCCCCCACCCGCTAAGCACCTGCAGGGCGACCACGGGTGTGGTGCTGGGATGGGGGCGTGGCAGAGGGGTTGGTTTGGCTCAGGGTGGCTTCTGACAGGACTCTGAGCCCCACCATGCATGTGTCTTGGGTTGCCCAGTCTTTCTTGCAGCGGTTTCTTTTCCTTGGGGATTGCTTTGCTCGGCTGCCCACCCAGCCCCACATAATCTGTGGCCCTCTTCTCTCCACAGCCACCAAAACGCTCAACCGAGGTATCTCGGAGTTCATTGTCATGGCTGCCGACGCTGAGCCCCTAGAGATCATCCTGCACCTCCCGCTGCTGTGTGAAGACAAAAATGTGCCCTATGTGTTTGTGCGCTCCAAGCAGGCCCTGGGGCGGGCCTGCGGGGTCTCCCGGCCCGTCATCGCCTGCTCTGTGACCATCAAAGAGGGCTCGCAGCTGAAGCAGCAGATCCAGTCCATTCAGCAGTCCATTGAAAGGCTCTTAGTCTAAACCCGTGGCCGCTGACTCCTGCCCTGAGGTCGTGTATCATATTGTCTGTGTTAGCATGTGGTGTTTTCCACTACCTTCCGTTGTTATAAAATATTGTAGTACGGAAGCCTGTTTCTGCATTTTTGTATTGTTTTCAGGTCTCTTCTCCCGCCCTCCTAACCCCCTCTCTGCCACATTTTTCTCCCTTATGCAAGTGAACCAATGCCAAAACAGGTGGAAGCAGGGTGGTGATGCTAGTGAAGGGCAGGAAGCGCCAGGAGATCAGGGTCCAGCTTTCAGGCCCTCACTGCCTGCTGTGTGCGGGACTTGGTGGAGGTAGATAAAGGGCCAGGGGGCCACGTCTCACCCAGGAGGCAGTACGTGTTCTGGGAGGTTGTTTGTGTACGTCCTGGTGTCGTTTGCTAACGTGTCCCCGCTGTGCAGTGTCCTACAGGACGTTAGATGCCATCATGTGGCCGGGGCGAGTGGGGTGGTTGACCTAGGCCTCAGATGTTAAGAGGGACAAGAGCAGAGTCAGCTGGTGCTGGTGCTGGTTCTGGGCAAGTCAGAGACCTGCGTGGAAGCCACAGCAGAGTTGATGGAATCCGAGGGAATGTCCTCTTTGGTGAATACTTTCCTCAGTGGACACTGGTGCCAGCACTGAGAGCCCTTCCCTGTGTCCTGCCACCATGGGTGTCAGAGATATGGATCCTGGCCACCACAGATGACAGTGTACTGTGCTGTTACGATATGAGAGTCCTAATAAAGAATATATTCATACTCCAGTGTGACAGATGCGTGGCTCTTGTCAGCGCCCAGCTGGTACCCTGATGGCGAGTCAGGTAAGGGAGGTGCTTGAATTGGCTGAGTGGCTGTCTCTCAGCAAGAGGTTAACTATTTTTAGGAAGTAATCAAAACATAAAATACAGCAAAATAACACGATTAATACAACCTTCCTGCAAGCAGGTCTGCCGGCAGCAACCCAATTTGCTCAGACTCAGAAGCGTGAGAACGGTACCTGTGCCAACAGTTCTCGAGGGTAGTTTGTTACGCCGCAAAACTAACGAGCTCCCGAGTACACAGACGTGTCAGAGCAGCAGCACACATGGTCCTAACAAACTGGGCCGCAGAGAGTACCTGAAGTTGGCAGGACCACAGACGAGATGTTCCGAACCAGCCACGTCAGAGAGCCTGGAAATGGGGACCCGCGGTTGGTCCCGGTGCAGTCTGCTGCAGTGAGACACGGCGGGCAGTTGGCTCAAGCCAGGGAGCTGGAAGTCGCAGCTCCTGCTGTGTGTCTTTTCCCAGTATGGTTTTACAGTTGGAATTTCTGGATGGAGGGATGGGGTGGAAGGGGAGTTTGCAGAACGTATGGTCCAGTTTGCTTTTCTGATTTTCATTACTTTCTTAAATACTTATTTATATATACAGAACTGGGGTACAAGCCAGAGGTGCAGGGACAGTGAGAGGACACACCAGAGACAGTGGGGAACAGAACAGGCGGATCCACTGAAAAAACCACTGAGGGGAGCAGCGGGGAGGCAGGAGCGGTCTGCTGTGCCCTGTGGGTCACTCCCTGGCCGGGGATCGAACTCATGCTGCAGTGACTACAGATACACAGTGCGGCACCTCATCCCTGCGCCACCAGGGACGCCCCATAGTGGATCCTTAAGCATGTTCTCCCCGTAGGTGGCATGCCGGTTGGGTGTCTTTTTTTGTATGACTCATGTCTAGCATAGATAGCACAGACAGAGGTTGGTGTCTTTAAAAACCAGGGTCTCCCTGGTGCTACCGGGGTTAGCATCTCAGGGCTATCAAACTATGGCCTGAGTTCCAACTCCCCCAGAAAGCCGACCCATGTGGCGCAGCAGGCCTATCCTGTCTCCCCACTGCTCCCCTCAGGGGTGTATTTCAGTAGATCCACCTGTGATGCTCCCCCACTGTCTGGTGCACATCTGGCCTATACCCCAGTTCTCTGCAAAAATAGGATTTTTTTTTTAAAGATTTATTTATTCATACAGAACTTGGGTACAGGCCAGAGATGCAGAGGGTGAGAGGATTCACCAGGAACATTGTGGGGAGCAGAACAGGCAGATGGACGAAGTACACTGCTGAGGGGAGCAGCTGGCGGGTCAGGAGAGGTCTGCCATGCCATGTGGATCTCCTCTGGGGCAGGCGGGGATCAAACTCAGGCGGAATTGGCTTAAGCTTCTTAGTGCTGCGCTTTAACCCGCTGTGCCACCAGGGAGGGCCAAAAATAGTATTTTTTTAAAAGGCCCACCAGATAGGCCTCACCTAAGGCCAAAGGCAGCGTCCTCCAAGAGCAAGTGTGTTTTGAAGTCCTGAACAATTCCCCGCTAGTAGGCAGGTTGCAGAAGTTTCAAGACTTCTGATAAATGATTTCCGGGGGCGCCTCACCCTTTCAGTAGGGGGTTCCCTCTTGCCAGGGCCTTGGCACCACCTCCTCCCAGGGAGCATTACCACTAGTGGACTTAACGTTTGTACTTACTCGTCTTCGACCGGGCCAGCCAGAGGCTGCCCCGCTGCTCCTAGGGACGCGGGTTGGTAGTTTATAGAGCAAAGCCGTGGGGCGCTCCCGGGCCTTCGGCGCAGCTCCCTGACGCATGCGCCGACCATGCCTGCCGCCGCGCTTCTCTCCACGGCCTCCTGCTCGCACCGCCACCTGGCGGATGGGGGCGTGCTTGCAGCCGGCAGCGGGCAGCAAGCACGCCCCCATGAAGCCCGGTCTGCTGGTCTGCTGTCTCACCTAAAGCTCACCAACCCGTTATGCTTATTGTAAAGATGGGGGAGCAGAGGGTCGCCCAAGGTAACTTGCATGTGTGTGGCGGAGCCAAGGTACAGACTTGTGAGATCACGAAGCCTAACCAAGCTCCACTGCGGTGCGATGGTCGCACCCGGGGGCCCCCACCGCAAAGCGTCGTTGCTTGCCATGGAAACAGACCACAAGACTGCCACTTAGCACCAACGAGGGGCTGTGGCTAGCATCCTTCAGGCTTACTGCTGGATGCTTGTTTGCCTTCGTAGTCATTTTCGCTTTGTAAATATGAAGGGAAAGAAACCCAGACTTGGGGAAGGCCACAGAGGGCACAGAAAAGCCTAGAAGTCACCCAGGGCTTTCTCCCTAGCCTGGAGTCCAGGATGGTCTCCTTACCCTCCTGCCTGCCGGGATCTTGGCAGCATTAGGCACTCCCTTTAGAAGCCAGTTTCCATCCTGCCGCACTTCAGGATACGAGCTATTTTCTCAACAGGAACGAGGGCTAACGATAGTAAATGGCTTTTAATTATCATGCAGTGTCCTCAAAAGCATCTCTTTACTGGAGAATTACATGCTCTCTCCCTCAGATGAGGAAAGAAATCTAAACCAAATAAAGGAAGAACAGGTTAAAAAATCAAACCAAACACGCATAGAGCTCAGAGCACGCTCCGAAGCTGAGAGTCACAGGAGTGACCTGACCCTCCCTGCTCCCCTCATGTTCTGCTCACCCTGCTCCTTCAGGGCACAGGACCTGTGGCCAGTCCTCCTGGAGTATGGAAAGGGACGAGGACAGAGGGATGGAAAAGGGAGAAAAGGGAAAGACACCCTGCCTCTTGTCTCCCGTTAGGCCCTCTTAACTTCTGGGCCTATCTACAGCTCCCCTGAAAAGCCAGAATAACCATGGATGCCAAATTCTCAGTGCAGTAGAAAACGTGGCTTTAAATACTTGAAGTCACGTTATGAAAATGCACCATGAGGAGGTTTGCTATTTACTCATGAAGCAGTTACCAGAATTTAAAATTTATGCTGTTTCTGAAACCTGATTTTTAGCTCTCATTAAGACAGGAGTAAGAAAGGCCCTCAAGAACATCATCTTGCTAGGGCTCGTCACTTCCGAAGCACGCTCACGCCCCTCGGCTGTTGTCCGTGATGGTGTGCTCCCAGTGGGGTCAAAGTTCAGCTGACGCAGACCGGCAAGTGGTCTCTGGAGGCAGGCTTATCCTTCTCTTTCGGGTGAAAGAACTGCACACAGCACAAAGCTAGAGCTCTTTATTCAGACCGCAGAGGAAGGCACGGCAGAGGGGCTATCCCCATGGCAACAGTTTCATCAACAGCTCCTCCTTGGCCTGCCAGGTGCAGGAGTGACAGGATTCAACTGCCAGAGTGTGTGGGGCGTCCCGGGTGTCCGTCAGTCCTGGAAGTGCTTGGTGAGCATGTCCAGCAGCTCCTGCTTCTTCAGCCCACCCTTCAGCCCGTACATCCTGCAGGCTTCCTTCAGCATGGGCACGGTGAGCTTGCCCAGGGTGCCCTGTCTGACGTGGGCCCGCAGCTCCTCTTCAGAGAACTCCACCTTGGGCTTTTTGCTTCCAGGACTTTCATTGTCTGGGAAAAGCAAGCGAGTGAGGGAACTGCCCCCGGGGGCGCAGGGCCCTCAGGAGGCTCAGGCTGTCCGGCTGGGCTGCCTCCCCACACCGCTAGGTGTATAGTCAAGGCTGCTTCACTGAAGCACCAAAAAATGCAAACACAGCACTCTTTGGAGGGTTCAGCGCACTGTGGGCAGCCCCTGGCTCGGGGGAGCACGTTCTTCCCCCCTTGTTTCAGAAAACACTTCCAGAGGACCCCACACGGTGGTGAAATGTGCAGGCTGGGCGGCGAACACCAAATCCCTGGCTGTGCAGGTGACGCGCTCGGTGAGGCTCGGGACCAAGGCGGCACTTGGAAGAGAGCACAGCATCCCCGCCCACCCCCGCCGCGCCAGCCCTCGCGGGCCTCAGGGAAGGCAGGCCCAAATTCAGTCCTGCTTAACCAGAGACAGCCAAAAGCATTACGACCTAAACCAGAAGTGGGGTGAGACCCCAACATGCTGTCCTGAAAAATGTCGGGGTCACGGTAAAGAGGGTATCGGTTTAGGGGTAAGGAAAGACCCGCTGACCAGGGAAAATGGCCCAGGCCGCATAGGAACAGGGGTACTGAACTCCTCCGCGCTAGCCTCTGGCCGCCAGCGGCCTCGCTCCCCTGGGCTTCACTGCCACACGAGGCGCACGCTGAGGCGGGCAATCGGGAGTGAGCACAGGGACGCACGCCTGGCCCGCGGGCGCCCGAGCCAGGCGGCCAGCACGGGGGTGCAGCGCAGGCCTGCTGAGCACGGACGGAAGCACACCCGCCCCGCTCAGCCAGGGCACCGCGTTCTCTGAGGCAGGGGCAGTTCTCACTAGAATTATAATGTCTACTGGAGGCCACTGCTGACGACTCGCGGCGCCCCACCGCGCTGGCACCAACTGGCTGGGGCCCTGGGCCCTACCCACAGCCTCTTCAAAGGCGAGGTGGGTAATGTGTAGCGCAGCGTTACGCCAACAAAAACCTGGAAACGCCGAAGGCAGTTACGCGACTGCAGCAAGTAACTGCAGCAACCACTGCTGAGCAACAAAACAGCAAACTAGAAGAAAACCAGTTTTTTGTGCTGAAATCTGGATGCTTGTCCAAGTAAGCCTGTAGGTGGTACAGAAACGTGTCAAGGGAGCTCGGCCTGTGCCAGGACCCCAACGACAACACAGAGCAAGGCCCGGCGTGCACACCCACTGCTCACCTTGCTTCCGCTTGGCAACCCTGCCCTCAGGGTTGTAGCCGGGGGGGTAGACGAGCTCCTTGAACTCTTCCACCAGGGGGCCCAGCCTTCTATCCATGGCTTCAACCTTGGGCACTGCAAAATCCAAGCACAAGGAGCGGCGTGGTGGGTCCCGGGCCAGGCTTCCAGTCCGCGCCCAGCGCCGCGAGGACCAGGAGA